TTACACTCTACTTCTCGTCGGGCGACTCGGATTAACCTGACTGATGAGCAGAAGGAGCAGTGCCAAAGTCTGTCACGTTTCATTCATAAGCAGTTAGTGTCTTGGCACCGTATCGGAGAAATACTGGGACCTGATTTGGTCTGGGTGCTAGTAGCTGATACGAGTCCAGTGAGTACCAACGCCTCTTTGTGGAGAATCCCTAGGAGTGCGATCGACGACCTGAAGTCTAATGGAGATGAAACCTTTAGACGTCACGACCGACTCGTGTGGAGTAACTCACACAAGCTCACACCTGCTGGAAGAAACTGGGTAAACTATGATAGAGAATTGTTCGGAGTGTTTCGTGGTCTGTATTATGCTAAGTCTATAATAGTGTCATCGTTTCATCCTACCAGTGGCAACCCCCGTGTCGTGGCACTGTCGGATAATACTGCAGCGCTGGAGAGAGTGGCACGACGACCATTATCTGAAGACGCGCCTCCGACACAACGCAGTAGATGGCTCAACTGGTATAACCTTACCGCCGAGTATAGCGCCATTTCTGTCGAGTATCTCCATATCTCTGGTGAGAAAAACTTCTGATGCGATCTGTTTTCGAGGTTAGTTGACGGCCAGATCTTCCCTGAGAATGGACCGAGTTACTCGGTCATCCTTTGGCGGTCGGAGACTTTTCCCGTAGAAGATAACCTTCCACCAAGGAAACATGTCTGCTGTGGATTATCCCCGTTTAACGAATCCTGTCTTGTAGGGAATGAATTACTACAAGCCTGGTATCCAGCTTTCGTCTTATCTCACCGTCCTGACGATGACGACGAACCGGTCGAGACCGACGAGGAGGATGACCCGTCGAGCTTCTCTTCCGCGCTGGCCACTGTGGAACCACACCTGGTTGCGTTGTACTCCTCCGATCGTGAGACGAAGGTCAATAATATACCTCTTCCTGAGCTCTACCAGGCAACCTCCGGTAGGCTCCATCAGGAAAATGTGTTCCTCGTCGACTCGGATGGCATAAT